GGGTGCAGGTATCACTGGGACTGGGGTGCCCACAGGGGGATTCTCTGCCCCTGGGTGCATGCGGCACATCAATGTCCCCAGGCAGTGGGGAGAGCCCTGGCATCATTGCATCTCCATCCCAGATGCTGTGAGCACCGGCACCCAGGAGGCAACATGGTCCTGAGCACTCAATGCAGCCACTGGCCTCAGCGGAGGAGGCTCAGCACCCCAAAAGAGCTGCAGTGGGGTCTTGCAGACGAGTATTGAGCCTGGGTGTCCTTGCATGGGCTGTTTTGGGAGGAAAAATATCACCAGCAAGACATTGGTAAGCCGCAACAGATGGGCAGGCAGGGGCCGAGACTGGTCCACGCAACCCTTCGGCAGCAGTGGGATGTGCTCCATGGTTGCAGCCCTGCCCGGTAGCAGCAGCGTACAGGCTGCTGGTGGCACTGGGGGATGCTGGGCACATGCTGGGGCACTGCAGGAGGAGAGGAGGCACAGGCAGCCCAGCCTCACAGCCCACTGAGGAGCAAGTACATTTTAACCACCGTGCCCCCTCTGATGTCCCACCGCTGGAGGCAAGATAACCCCTGCACTGCCATGCCACAGCACAGGGCTGCCCAGGGACCCCCTTGCCCTGGCTCCCTGTCCCCCAAGAAGCAGGAGGCTTTGGTCTACCTGCTGGCCCCTCATAAAGCAATTTAGATTAGGTCCCAGAGAGGAGGGGACCATGTTCCCCGCTCAGACGTCACCACTGTTACCCTTGCACCAGTGAAATCATGTTTACTGTGGGGTTAACATGCTCCTGATAACGTCAAGTCATGCTTTCTCCCCTCCTCACCGAGCAAGGGGCCACCCAGGGACCCGTCCCCAGGGTGACTCTGGCTGGAGGGGACCAGTGCGGATTTCAAGGCAAAGGCCAGTCACCCCCTCTCCACGACCAAGGGTCAAAGCACCACCTCAGCCCTGGGCTGGCTGAGTTACTTATTGCTGCCCTGGGGAAAAGAGAGCCCTAGGTGCAAAGGATGGAAAGCGTCCAAGGGGCTTAGCCTGCCAGCTGCAGCCCCTCAGAAGACGCCGTGAGTTCACTTAAGTCCTTCAGCCATAAATGTTTTGCTTCTAGGCAGCTGACATAGAGAGGAAACAAGAAAATAGTTAGTATGAGAGGTTGCGTCTCTGAAGAGGAGGAATTCCTGGGTGCCACATCCTTGCTCCTTGCCTCTCATCCCAGGCTGCGGGACTGGAGAGCACTGCCTGTGTCTACGGGCAGGGGCTCCACTAATTAAGCAAAGGGCCATCTGAAATGCTCAATTCAGAGTTTGATTACTGCTAGGTTTAATAAATTAATTCAAGCAGCAGAAGGGAAGATTTCTAATTTTAACAGGAGTCAGCTTTTGCACGGCTTCCCCCCAAAGAAGAGAGGCAGCCAGCATGGGCAGGGGCAAGCAGAGCAAGGAGCTTGGGTACAGAAACACCTGTGGTTTGGACAGACGAGTGCAGGACAGAGGCACTGCAAGGGGCCCCAACGTCCCCAACAGCCTTTCGGCTTCCTTCTCACCTGTGCAACACCAGACCCCCGTTCCATGGGTGCAGCATGCCAGCTTCACCTGCGGCACAGCAGGAAAGGAGTTGATGAGCATCACACTGAAAAGGGGACAAGCCTTTCCCCAGCCCCCGTGCCTCCAGCCCTGCCAAGTGGGAGCCCCAGCATTAAGCATGGGTGGGCTCAGGGACGGGAAGGTTTCTCCCCTCCAGCTTTCCTGGTCTTTAACTTGAACACACCCAAAGATGTGAAACTTCGCTACAGGGTAAGGCAGGTTGAAAAGGATTTTCAGCAGCGGAGGACAGGGAAGGGAAGGACACCGAGTGCACGGATGCGGTGGCAGTGGTTATCTCTGCCTCATGCAATAGCCACATTCCCCGTTATCAATAAGCCGGGTCCTCAAGGCCAGGCTGGATGTGGCCCAGCCCAGGGCCAGAGAGGACGGGAGCCCAGACTGCCCCAGGAGCCAGCTGTGCTGCTGGCGAGCATGAGCAAAGCGATGGAGCTGAGCCAGCCAGCATGGCACAGAGCCAGCCCCTCAGCTTGCCTCTTGGCCCTCACCAGCTCAGTGGGAAAAGCTGAGGGTGCTCCGGGTTTTCCCGCAGGAAAGCCTCAGAAGAGCATGGCCCCAGCTCAGGACAGGAGCAGGATGTGAGAGGGACGGGCAGTCAGGGGGGAAAGCAGAGGAGGGATGGGAAGAGGGATGGATGGGGAACGGCTCCCTCCTCTGAGCTCCCAGGCTGGAGGCCTCGCCTTGCAGGATGTCATGGTGGGGCAGGGAGCCTTGCAGCCCCTTGCTGGAGGGCTAGACTGCAAAGATTAATCCCCTGTCATAAGGATACGCGTTCTTGCCCTCTCCTTGTGCTCTGGATGGTGCCTCAGATGAAGAAAGGGGACAATAAAATACTAACATGCCCTTATCTTCAAAAGCAATAGAGGCACTATAAATGCCCAGCACACGCAAAACCATTGCCGCACCTGGGCCAGGGGCTGCAACCTCATCGGATGGTCATGAGGAACATGCAAAAGGTCCTAACTTCTGGCTCTAAAGAGGGAATGACACGTGCTCTTCACCAAAGCCTTTGCAGCCAGTCGTTGCCCACCAGGCAGCCCTACCCACTTGCCACAGCACTGCTGGCAGTGCCCTGGCCAAAGCACCCTCCTGCTTCCCTGGCCCAGCTGTGCCCAGCTGCTGCCCCATGCAAGTGGAGCCTCTTCTCATGCAGAGCACTGGGTCAGGATGCCTGGGGGGCAAAAGGGCACAGGTTTGTCCCAGATCTGGCCAGATCCCACACCTCCTGCCTCCCTTGAGTCCACCAGGGAAGCCAAACTTAGCTCCTGGCATCCCTGACCTGCCTCTCTTTCCTGCCTAGCACTGCTGATCTGAAGCAGCAGCAAATAATCCATGCAAGCTCTCTGAGGAGTATCAAGCCAGGTGCTAGGAGAGCCCGTCTCTGCCCGCAGCCCCCGGGAAGTGCTTAGAAGAAGCAGGAGGGGGAAGAAAATTCAGGCCAAGTTCCCGAAGCCAAACTTAGCTCCTGGCATCCCTGACCTGCCTCTCTTTCCTGCCTAGCACTGCTGATCTGAAGCAGCAGCAAATAATCCATGCAAGCTCTCTGAGGAGTATCAAGCCAGGTGCTAGGAGAGCCCGTCTCTGCCCGCAGCCCCCGGGAAGTGCTTAGAAGAAGCAGGAGGGGGAAGAAAATTCAGGCCAAGTTCCCGATGGGCCGAGGCACTTGGAAAGGGCCTCCACATTCCTCCACCCTCCTCCCAGCTGCGGCACACTCCCAGCTGCCTCCCACACCGTGCCAGAGCCTCCCAGCCCCTTGGCAAACCAGGGCTGGCGTGGAAGAGGACAAACTCTTCCTACTCATGACATTACAGCAGCCTTTTCAGGAGCAGCAGAGGATGCGCTACGGAGAGGGCTGCTCTCAAGTACTTCAAATCCAGACTCCCAGGCTGCGCTAAGCAACAGTTAAAGTCTTGGACTGTGCTGGTGAGAATGGGAGATGCACGCCCTGCCCCAGCCATGCCTCAGGCCCCACCTGATGTCCCTGCTGGTGGCCACACTCTAGCCTGGGAAACAGCCTCATGGTTGCACCTCAGAGCACCTATGATGCTTAGCTGGCAATTGCATTCATATTTTACCTCCAAAGACTTCCTGCCCTCCTGAAGCCTTGGGGATGGCCCCGTCTGGAGTCACACAGCTGGGACACTGCCATGAGACTGTTGGTGCCTGGCTCTTCTGGTTTTAATGGGAGACGTTGCAATGGAGGTGAGGGGTAGTGAGAAAACAGCTCCTCTTTGGAAAACACCTTCAGTCGGAGGAAAAGCCTGTCCACAAACTCGTGGCTTTCCATAGCCTCCTGGAAGAGACCTGTGTAAAGGCGCTTTAAAGGATCTTTGGGTCTTTAATGAAAGATATGAGGGAAACAGGGTGGAATGAACTCCATGGCACCACAGGGGACATAGACCTTTGGGTGCACCAGAACGGATTGCTAGAAAGCGCCTTCCTGGCTGGGTATGAACAACAGCTCAGAAATCTATCAGGAGAGTTATAAAAAGTGTTTATATCGGAAACCCATGATACCTGTGAAAAGGACACAGAAGTTTGATCTTCCAGGCACTATGTTAACAGCACAATCAGATTT